GTGCCCGTCAGCCTGCCTTCCCCCCAGTACGGGTCCTGGTCCCTCAGCCTGCACCTCGTCCCCTCAGCCACCATCAGCTAAAAGCAGAGAAGCTTTACAGTCCCCATAGCCTCAGAATTCAAGAGATGCACTTCAAGAAGGAGATGTTGTTGGGAAAGGGCCCTGGGCTAGCTCATGGCAGAGGCTGTGGAGCACGGTGTGAAGGGACAGGACACTGAACGGGCCATGGCACAGAGGAGCTGTACCTGCCTAGGGAACAGCCTGTTCAGGGGTACACGTCTGGGGACCTGGAATCACAGTCCTCCTGGCCTCAGGTAACACAGGAATGTCCTGACCGATCACACATTCAATACTGATTGAAATAGATCCATTACCTTGTCTGGAAATAAAACCAAATCAGAATCTAATAATAGAATCATTTTTAAATTGCCGTGATTAATGCGGGAGGACATGCCTCACATCTGACAAGGTCAGAACTCACATCTCATTTATATTTTAATTTTTTATTTCTTCATTTATTTTATCCCTTGCAGTAATGTCAGGCTGAAATTTATCCTTGTGAAAAGGTAAATTTGTCACAGCTTTGACCTATACCATATTTTTATTATTTTATCATTCTGAAGGTAAAAATAACTTAAATATATATGAAAAAGCTTCCAGGGAGCCATGCAAGCATAAAGAAGGAAATTATGCCAAAGGCAGGATTAGCTGCATGAAAAACAAACAAACCAAACACTACAAATGTGTACACAGACTGAAGTACTGGAGTATGAGATTTCTTATCCAAGAGCAAGGTACATAAAGAATTTATGTTAAAAACAGCAACAACTCCCTATGATGAATTCAGAAAATCGTTTCAGAATGAAAATTTTGTAGGAAAAACTCTTGATATTAATAAATTTAATCAGGGTAAGTTGTTCTACCTTCCTGATGCCTTCCAGGTGTTCACTTAGTTCACCCCAAGGTGTAGCTCGGTTAAATAATCAGTAAAGTAAAAAGAAAGGTGCAAGGAAACACTTGATAAACATGACAAATAAGCACTCCGAAATGCTGCAACCTTTCTGTGCAAGTGATATCTGTGTAAGTGCTGTAGAACAGCTTCCCAGGTATTTCCTCACATAACGTTGCTTCTGAAGAAGCAAGAGTGTGCAGAGCACAAGGTAAGAATGCGATGTAATTTTCTTCTGCATTTAAATAACATTGATAGTTGTATCAGGGAACCGAGAGACCACTGGGATGCCAGGAGACCAATAAATTAGGCTATGATTTTGAATTTTACAGTAAAATTTACTAGACTGATATTCATTAACCCAATGGTGCTAAGAGTTCGTTCTCACACCTTGCTAGCCATTACCACTATATATTAATTTTTACATATTATCAACAGTTAGCAGAGATTCAAAGCAGTCAGTCCTTACCAGCTACATCCCACCTTAGCTGGGAGCATACAGTACCACAGAGCAGATGCCTCCTTGTTAGTGCCGAGGGTTCCGGTCCTCAGTTGTCTCTGGGGCCAGGTGCAGGAACTCTGGATGCAGACCTGAAGCTGCTGTCTACATTTCTCCCACAAATTTGGGATCTTGCCCCTTTATAAGACCGTGCAATCTCTAGATCACTCCCAGTCCTCCACCTTCCGACAATGTTACTGTGGGAAGTGGGGCGGGTGTGTTGTTTTCCCAGGCTGCTGCAGGTGCCTTGTTCAGTTGTTGGGCTAGTTTGTTTTTTTCTTTTTTAGTTTGCTTCACATGTCCTTTCTTAAAGCAAAAGCAGTCTGACAAAACACAGCCTTGAGAGCTGGGAACAAAGACCAGTCTCTAACCATCAGTGAGTTGTTTTTGCTGCCGTGGCCCCTGCTTTCAACTCATGCCCATGTTTTCAAGGCCTTTGTTACATCCCACGTGAAAGCTGCACCTCATAACAAGAGGCAGCTGGTATCAAGCTCTGGTTCACATAGCAAGTTCTCATAACAAGTTGGTAACAAGCCCCACAGGCCTTGCACAGTTAGCCAAAGGCCAGGAGCCTTTTACTAGCACTAGTACTTTTACAGGGCTGCTGGGTACAGAAATGCGTACGCAGTTACACCATGTCAATGTCCTTATGCCTAGGTTCTGAACAAGCTGATGGTAAAGTTTTCTTGGTGGCTTCTCTCATCCTTAGAGCAACAGGACTCTGCTTTAGCTACTGTGAGATGCGAGGTGGGAAGAAATAGCTCTACCTGGTGGAACAAGAAGTAACTGATTTTACTATTTTACTTACTACTGCAGCATTAAACTCTTCAGAGTACGGTGTAGGACAATCACCCTTCAGGATCTTCTGAGAACAAGGAAATTAAATAAATGCCTGAGTACAGTGGAGATGGTAAGGTCTCCAACATAAAAAGAAGGATAACAATCATATTAACATAAGGCTTATGATGAGCTTCCATAAGACGCTGTTAGTTTATTATCTCCTATTTTTCAAAAGCCTGGTAGGAAGCCTATTGCTGTAGAGAACCAAAATATGCTATCAAAAAAGCCACGCTTAAGTTGCAGGAATCATACATTCTTCATCAACAGTAGCAGATTAAACGTATTTTCAGGTAAATTATTGGATCTCTTATTACAAGAATCTTTAGCCCAATGAAGGCAACCTTCAAGCTCTTGTCTTTGGGCCTTTCTTTCTACCTTATTTTCTCTTATTAAACAAGCTAATTCCTAGTTTCATATGATGCTTTTCATTTATATGTATGTTTTGACCGATTTTGACAAAAGTTAAAAATAACCAAGGGTTAGAAATAACTATTTATTGTGAAAATAATGTACAAATGTTTATGTCTAAGTCCTGAACCGTCAAAATATGACAATTTATTCTCTAGAAAACAAGGAAAAAAGTGCACTGTGCTATATGTATTTGCTTAACTTGTAATACACTTTCCAATGTATATAGTAATAATCTTCAAAGATCTTGTTGAATATCATTCAGTGCATGTGTAAGTCTTCTTAATTTATTTTCCATGGCTTTTTTATTGTTTGCAGTTTCCTGCAGAAGCTGCCGCATTTCTTCTTCAACAGAGTAAACCTGAAAGGGCAGATAGAGATTAAATAGAATTCTTGCCTTTCCTTAACATACCTAAAACCATAGAATCTTGGCAGTTTTTAACACTGATAAGCAATGCAAGAGTTATATGCTTCTGTTGAAATAAGCAATGCACTACTTTTGCTACTGGATGCAATAGCAGAATTTTGCTTAAAAAAAAAGTATTAATTTACTAGCATATAGCAAGTAACGTATCAAAACCAAAATCCCTACTAGCAGAGAAAGCACCAGTTGTCACAGTAGGGAAGAATGCAGCGTATGAGAGGAACAGTGACTGTTAACACTGCCATAGGTGAGTTAAGTGGATTATCTGGCATAATATCATTATTCTTGCCTATGTACATAAGGAATGTTTAGCTATTGACTTATAACATCTACATAGCATACAACTTTACTTTGCTTGAATACAGAACCTCATGATGGTAGTTCTAGAGATTCTCTTCCTGTGAAAATACTGAGTACTAAACCAGGGCTGTTTCCTTTCAGAAATTAGCCAGAGAGATATAAACAGGTAACTTCAAGCACCACTGTTGCAGCAGCTGTAGAATAAAAAGGCAAATAAAAGTAAACATATAAATTTAGTATTAAAATTACTTTTTCATTTGCTGCTTCAATCTGTTTTTCCTTTTCATTTGCCAGCTGCAATAGTTCTTCTTGATGAGCTGCCAACATTGACTCAAGTTGTTTTCTAAAAGCGTTATCCATTTCATGAAGCTTTTCCACGGCAATCCTAAAAAAATAAGGAAAAAAACCTCCCACCACACTCCTGCAAACAATGGAAGCATTTTGCTTTGCCCAGTTCTGCCTTAGATAAGGTTTTAATAACATGGCCATGAAGACAATTATTTCAATATCTAGCTTTAGAAGATATCCTGTTCTCTCTTTTATGCACCATGTCTAGGGCTTCTGGCATTCCTCTTAAAAACATCTAGGCACTAGCAAAGAATATGAAGATTCAGGCTTGCTACTGTCAATGTGGATAAGAAGTCTACCTGTTTTCAAACATCTACTTTGTTGTTTTTGCTTCCTGAGAAGTCAGTGACTGAACTATGATCCTGTAAATGGCCTGTAAGCCTGTGTCTCACAGAAATAGAAAAGCGTCTGCTTTACAGCAGTGAAGCATTTCCTTGACTCCAAGCAAATTCTATTTCTAGGGCATAATTCTAAAATATGTAGCAACAGAAAACAAGGCAAATTATTCCACTATACAATTAATTTACACCAAAATTTTGAAACAAGACAACTGTTTGGGACAAAATTTCAGTTTCACTACTGATTTTCCAACCATTCCAAAGCCTCCTACTATTGACTATTTGAGATGATTGTTGTGGGGTTTTTTTTTTTTTGTTTGGTGGGGTGTTTTTTTGTTTGTTTTTTTTTTTGTTAAATCAAACTTCACCATCAAGGTATTCTCTTTCATTTAATAATCAGATGACCTTCTGTAAAATAATAGCAAAAGTGTAATTAATCAAAATGTTTAATTTAAAAATGTAAAGCAAAACCCCTAGTCATACTAGCTTATTCCTTCAGTAACAGTGTGGTTATCACTGCTAGATAAATGTGCAGTCTTATTAACTAGCTAATCTTTTCTTAAGAATAGTTGGGAGGAAGGAAGAGAAAATAAGAGAAATGGGCCAAAGAATAAAGATCATACTAACAATCTAAGATCATCATGGGCAGCAGTCTACCGTACTTCTCCATAATGCCAGATGCATATGAAATAACTGAGCATCATCTAAGTCCTTGACCATTTCTGGATTATTTGTTTCTGTGTCATCTCATATTTATTATTTACTGCTCAAAAAAAATTGACAGTACAAGAGGAATAAGAAAAGAAATTAAAAACCTTGTGACTTGTATGGGAAGAGAATGACAGGTAGTAACCTACAAAGAGTCTGTGTGTCACAAACTGAAATATTTATTATTATTATTGTTTATCCTAGGTTGTGATAAGTATTGAGAATCTGTCCTCAGTTTCCTATGCTGCACACAAAGTATTTTCATCATCCTGCACAGACGTTAGTGAAGCACTGTGGCCTCTCTTGTAAGACCAAATGCCAGCCATAATTGCTTGGCTTGATCTGTGTATTTGCAACCAATTTGTCCCATGCATCCTGGTCATGATCTAGAAGGTTGGCAGGCTCATGCTCCAAGAAACCCTCCTGCAGACTGCAAGACCGTGCCTCACGTGCACCAGCATCTTCACTGCGCGACTCCAGTCAGCACGTTTCATGACTGTAGGATTCTCTATCATGTAAGAGTGACATGGCGTTTCCTCACAGAGATAAACCAAAAACATTGTGGTGGAATGGGCGTACTAGGGAGGAATGAGTGTAGGCTCTGATTATTTTCAAACAAAATGGGAACATAGCTAAGAAGTGTAAAGGACAGATGCTGCAACTGAATGCCAGTTCCACAAAGTGAGTCACCTGTATAGCAAGAATTACTTCTACGCACACAGAGCTTGCAGCAACTGGGCTCAACAAGTACTTAAAAAGGTCTTATGCATTCTTTCACCATATAACCAAACATTTTTGTACACTTAAGAGTGCAACTCTACAGTAACTGAGCAATCACAAAATAAGCTATTAAGGTTTTCACCTCTGAGTTTGAAGACTTTTATTTCTGTCTTCAATCAGCTTCTTCTCTTTGATATCGAAGCTCTCCTTCATTTGTTTAACCTGTACCTCCAGCTGGCTTAAAAGTTCTCCCTTACCTTGCCACTTCTTTTTCAGTGCACTGAAAATAAAATGCACATATTTACAACGAATGTAGATACCACTTCTTAGGAGGGCAGAAAAAGTTTTCCATGCTTCTGTTTTTCCACATTTCTGTGGGCTTTAATAGCAAGCATGTACTCTCTGAACATAAAATAACTTCATAGCAGCGTTGCATACTACTACATCCGAAAGAATTATCACCACTTATATGTATCACCTGTGTGCGTTCTTAACATCATCAAGTTCTACTTCTTTTTCTTCTAGCAGTTGCTTTAATTCCTCTTTTCTTTCATTTTGCCTTTCTATTTTTTCCATTAATTCTTCAACTTCAGCAGCTTTTTCATCCAACTGTACTTGAAAATATTTTTGAGATTTCAGATTTTCTTCATGCTGTTTTCTGATTTGTTTATCTTTTTCTTGTAAGCCCTTTAGAAGACAAAATATTTTAGAACACCCTTCATTTTAGCTTTATGGTTACCCTTAAAAAGTATCTGTTTAGTCTATGCTGGAATAAAGCAGGGATGGACATGTGAACGTTTACTCTTCTAAAGGTATCATTTTATGAAAAATATTTAGTAAAATAGCCAGTTAAATACTCTTAATCTGAAATTAGAATTAAAAAAAAAACAAACATCAAAACATGAATCCAAAATTGAAAGCAAGTTAAGAAAAGTCATTTAGAACTCTAATCCAACAACTTATTCTACATACACAAATCACTGAGCTGACATGCTGTTAACATGGCTATATGGTTTAACGCATCTAACCTTGATTGACATCCTATAAACTTTGCTCTCATTAAGAAGCTAAAAGCTTAGGTCTCTAAATGAGATTAATGGAATTAATAGAACAAACACAGTAGCTCTGCTGTTAAAATATTGATTTAGAAGAACAGAATAAAGAAAAAAATATTTACATTGTAAAATAAAGCTGAAGCAAACTTTCTAAAATGTTTTTCCCTTTACTTTTTAAACACATATGAAGAATTCTACTATCCCGGTTTTTCCTCTCTCAAAATCATTATCAAGAAAAACTTGAAGCAAGGCAAAGAGAAGAAAATCTTTACCAAAAAATGGTTCAATTAGAGATTCAAAGTAGCATCTATACATCAACTTAATACAAGGTCCTCTTCTGCTCTCAATGAAATCAATTGCCATGGACAGCCTGATTGTGCTTTCTGAGTTGGTAAAACTAGGAGTGTAGAGTCTGCTTTAATTTCAGCTTTTACAGTAACTTTCACTGCTAGTCTTTATTTTAGCTAAGCACACAAATTGTCAGACATAGCACTTACTTCTTTTAATCTCCTAATTGTTTCTGTCTGATCATCCACTATTTTGTTTTTTATTCTTATAGTATCACTGTCCTGTTCCTTTTGCTTTCTTAACATCTCAATCTCATTCGTTAAAACTTCAATTTTTGCCTCCAGTTTTCCCCGATCTTGAGCAAGATGAGCTCCTAGATAAAACACAATATTCACACTACAGCACTCATTTTACAGATGACTTCAAGATGTATAATGTCAGGATAGAGGGAGAGGCAAAGGTAAGAATCACCTTAAAAATTAAACATGACTATTTTGCCTGCTGAAAACACTGTAGGGCTTTAATCCATAGGTAATGCTTAAGAAGAAATATAGAATGGAAGGTCTGTATTTCACCCTTTGAAAACTTCTCTGACAAAAGTCAACAGTAATTCTTACAGATCCAGCCACTCTCAAAGAACCCACAAGGTGGTGCTGAGACACATGAAAATTAAAAAAGCCCAAGCTTTTTTTCATCCAGTATTTAACATTTTATTTTTTTTTAAAGATATCTACGGAAAATTTCACATTAGACTTACTTATCTGAGAGACAAATAGCACTACATAACACTTGTTACAAATCCTTGTTTTCCTAGTTACATATTTAGAAGTTCTTCATATAACATGATGGTATTTTGACATTTTGGGGAAATAGATAAACTGTATTCACAACTAGCTCCCACATCTACTGTTATAGTTCCTATAATGGCCTGCGTAGTACAGAAGGTCTATTTTTGCACATCATCTTGACTGTGTAAAGATAACAAGGCATCTAGAGACACTGTCATGATTACAGCTATATTGGAGTGGTCATTTGAAAAGGTACGACATGGAACATCACCATTTTTTCTGCAAAAGAAAAAACACAATATTTTACCCTGTTGTGCCAACTCCTGCCCCCATAGTTTTCTTTCCATTTTTAAGCCATCAATCACAGATTCCTGGGCTGTCAGCTGAGAAATAAGTTTTCCATTTTCCTTTTTCAGAAGTTCAACTTGAACAGCCTTCTGTTTATCCTGCTCAATCGCAGCTTCAAGTTCTCCAGTTCGACACTGTACGAATGAACATTGGAAAAAGACAGTAAGATCCTTTAAAACAAGTATTCAAAATTTTAAATAAATAATAAGTGGCCAAAAAAGTAATACTGATATACAGCAAATTAAGTTAACTGAGGAATATTCTGCTTATGTACAAGGTTCTAGCTGATAAAAAAAATGCATCTCTTCCCAGTAATGAAACACAAATATTTGCTGCAAATAGACATACTTCAACCCCAGAAAACTGTAAAGCTGATTTCTAAATAACCACCTTAAATTGTCAATGCCATTATAAAAACCTGTTTAGAATAATAAATGCACGAGTCAAGAAAAAAAAGTCAAGTTAAGATATTAAAAACCAACCCAAAAGAAAACAGACAGAAGCTGCGATGTTTTGAACTTCCACTTCCCATGAGAAATATTATCTTCAGTCATGCAGGCTATTTTTTGTTCTACAGATTACAGCTATTTTTAAATTTTGTTTTTAGCAACATCCCTGCCTGACTGGCAGAATCCTACTGTCTATAGCTACACAATGCTGGGACACCCCAATAGCAGCAAAAGATTAGAAACAGCTGTGTAGGGGTTGTAGTGCACAGAAGTTTTAGCATGAAGAGGGAGTGGATCACACAACAGGTTAAAAGTTATGTTCCTGATATTTTTCAGAACTGCTTATGGGCAACGTAGTACTATGTTACCACACAGTGATCAGTAGTGTAAGATAAAGCAACTGTGCCCACTGTATTTAACATTAAAATTAGATAATTAGTAGCTAATGACTAAACCCACTAATTTTATGTGGTGCTCGGAGATATTAAGCTGCTAATAACTACACTTGATGATTTGTGCAATTTCATTTTTACTTCATGTACAGTGACCACCACAGAATCATATTCTATTACTTTCAATTTACAGAAGGTCAGAGGTATTAACGTGGGTTTTTAAGTCTCAGTTTAGATTAAATACAAACTGCTAGTGCACACAAGGCAAGGAATACACTTCTGAAGACATGAATGAGTCTACATTTTGCTATATGGGGAGCAAAGTTTTTGTGACAAAGAGAAATGCAAGGTGCAAGAACAAAGGCTGATGCAGAGTACTCTGTTTTAGTGCAACGGGAAACATGCGTCTTTCAATCTACCTTGTATGGTATTGCTATTTTTAGAGATAAAATATTACAAAAAAATCATATATGTCGTTGAAATGTTTTGAAACAAGTACCTTTAGATTTGCCATAGCTTCTTCATTTGATTTTGTTAATTCTGCAATCTTTACTTTCTGTTCTTTCACTATACTTGTCAGGTCTTGGATCAGACTTGACATCTCTTTTTCCTTTTGTTCAAACTCAAAGACTGCTTGTTTATGTTCAACTAGATCAGCAGAAACACTTTCAAAACTGTCTTTTACCTGAAGTTTTAAAAGATAAAACAACGTGAAAAATGATAACATTTGGAAATAGTATGTATACATACACACAAGTGTGATTTGAATTTCAAATAAAGGAATAAAAGTTTATCAACAGTATGTGAAGTCAGTAAATATCTGAAACTTATTTTTTACCAGTTTGTTGATGATACTTCAACTCAAAAAACTGGTTCTTCTCAGCTACAAATTCGTAAAAAAAAAAACAACAAAACAAAACAAGAAAACAAACAAAAAACCCCCCAACAAATAGCTTGGGAAATTAAAACAATGCCTTGCTTTAATCTCATTGTTAAGATTAACATTAAAATCTGGAAAGAACTTAATTCTGTTTTTTCTTCCTTGCAAGAGAAAGATTTGAAGGGTGAAAAACCAGTATTTTCTTTCCCTCTTCTCGTGTGTACCTGATTTAAAATGAAGAAAACTCAATTTAAGTGACGGTGAAACATTTAAAATTTTATTTCACTTAACTTATTTCTATGGCTGGTGTTCACATGAAATATATCTAAGGAATTTAGTAAGCAAGTTTTGAATTTGAATTTCAAAATGCATCTCCAAAATTCAATTTTGAAAAGTTAAACAATAGGGAACTTTATTATTAAATACACTAGTATATATGCAACCATAACCTTATCAAAACACCACAAGAGTTTTTACAATAACCGAATATATTCTAGTAGAAGGGCAACATATTTTAAAAGAATTTAATATCACCAAATACAAGTTTCTCTAATTTGATTAACGTTTACTTATGAATAAAAGTGCTGGGTTTTTTTGAGTAATGACTTTTGAGTGCAAGCCTTGACAGGCTTGAGAGGCAGGCCTATGCAAACATCATGAAGTTCAACAAGGCCAAGTGCAAGGTGCTGCACCTGGTTTGTGGCAATCCCAAGCACAAGTACAGGCTGGGTGGAGAATGGCTTGAGAGCAGCCCTGAGGAGGACTTGGGGGTGTTGGCTGATCAGAAGTTGAATATGACCCAGTAATGTGCGCTTGTAGCCGAGAAAGACAACGGTATTCTGGGCTGCATCAAAAGCAGTGTGACCAGCAGGTCAAGGGAGGTGATTCTCCCCCTCTACTCTGCTCTCGTGAGAGCCCACCTGGAGTAGTGTCCAGCTCCGGGCCCTCAACGAAAGAAGGACATGGACCTGTTGGAGCAAGTCCAGAGGAGAGCCACAAAAATTACCAGAGGGCTGGAGCACCTCCCCTATGAGAACAGGCTGAGAGAGTTGAGGTTGTTCAGCCTGGAGAAAGAAGGCTCCAGGGAGACCTTATAGCAGCTTTCCAGTACTTCAAGGGGGCTACAGGAGAGATGTGGAGGGACTCTTTATCAGGGAGTGTAGTGATAGAATGGGGGCTAATGGCTTCAAGCTGACAGAGGGTAGATTTAGATTAGATATTAGGAAGAAATGTTTTCCTGTGAGGGTGGTGACCCAGTGGAACAGGTTGCCCAGAGAAGCTGTGGATGCCCCATCCCTGGAGGGGTTCAAGGCCAGGCTGGATGAGGCTTTGAACAACCTGGGCTAGTGGAGGGTGTCCCTGCCCATGGCAGGGGGTTTGGAACTTGATGATCTTTAAGGTTCTTTCCAACCTAAACCATTCTATGATTTTATGATTGTATGATTTGCTGTTTATGTTCTAATCACTGATATTTCAAATCTTACTACCAGTATTTTTAGATAAATCCTTGGAGCAAAGGCCTTAAGGTAAAAAAAAAAACCTGACAGAAAACCAACCAAACACATTTAAGATAACTACAGCTACACCTAGTTTAAGATTAAATGTTCTTAGTCTTACCTCTTTAAACCTTTTGGCTTCAATAGTTAAAGCTAAACGAAATTCATCTTCTAACTCTCTGTACTTTTGGTTTAACACACTAATTTTCTCCTGAAATTCTTTAACACGCTGTTCATGTCTCTGTTCCTCTTTAGCCACTTCTTTTGACAAAGCATCTTGAAATTCAGGTCCATTTAAAGCAACTCGGGTTTCAAGTTCTTTCCTGTTATCAAACATATACTTGAGACAAAACTTGCAGTATCTTACAATGCTGTTTTAGCTGATTTCCTTTTAATTTCTTAAAAAGGATAATAAATGGGATAAATTACTTAATTTCACAGACAGATTTCAGTCTTCCATGACAATGGCCCTGGAACAAGGAGAAGCATGTTGACTACTGTTAAAACCCCAAAGGAATAACCTTACTTTTTAATTCAAACTTTTGTAGAAATTATTCAATTGCTCTTTTGCTGTTAGCATTTGTTTGCTTTGCTAGTAACAAAGCTCTGGAAGAGACATTGGAATTGGGAAAAGCACTGTACAGCCAGATGTCCTCTTTTGCAGTCATTCTCTTCACACTCACCCAACAAATGTTGCTTCTCACTCAGACCCAAAACCTGAAAAGCATCAGCAATGGGACCTAAAGGGTTCAGGGATAAGCCTCCTTCCTGTCTGTAAATATCCCTGTAGGAGAATGTTGAAGAAAAATTACCCTGCACTTTAAGACGATTCTGTTCATCTGCTTTAAAACACAAAACACATCTGCTGTCTTTCACATTACGTCTTTTGGGGATTTACGAGATAAGAATTGGAAGGTCTCAAAACACAGCTGTCAGATTCTTCCATCTAAACCTGCAGTTATCTTGGCATCTGAACACATTTCCTTGTAAAATTTAGCAAGTGTAACCAGCTTATTTTATTAATGACGTCCCTCACATACTAGTATGCCACACACCACTTGTTGCTTTAGTTTGTACACCTATTTGATTGTATTAGCTCAACAGTATAGAATTATGTTCAAGTATTCTCCAAAAAAAGTAAATTTTGACTAGAAAGAGGAAAACAGCGAGGCAAGCCACCCACCCACTCTAAAGGACTGTAGAGGCTGACTTTTTCTTTTAAAACTTTGTGTTACTGTAGCATATGCAGATCTTCAAGCTAATTCAAATGCAATTTTATTTTTATATTATTATTTCCTGGATTAAAGATCAAGTATTTAAAATAAAAATTTTAGCCGTATAACAAGACAAGAACCTATCAAATTAAAGGCTAGAAGAACACAGTTGCCTGCAGGGACCTGTAAGTCAGCAATCTCCAAGATACGAAGATACTCTTAAATGAGCAAGAAAATGGGTCAGAAGACATCTATAGTTTTACAAACACTATCTCACACATTTAAAAAAAAACAAAACCAGAACTACACACATACTTTGCAGAACACATTTAAACAAAAGGCGTTTGCAACACTATCTCTATTAACTTGTGAAAAGAAAAAAAGAGTCTGTACCTTTGCTCTTGCTCTCTTAGTATAAGAAGCTCATGTAGTTGTTTTACCTTCTCCCTCTGTTGTCGAAAGGATATTCGAAGTAACTGTACTTCTCTTTCATTTGCTGATGCTTTAAGCTCTGCTTCTTGCACCTTTTTCATCTGAGAGAGGAAGAAGATTTTTTTAGAACTGTATTCTATTCCTCATGTCTTATACTAAAATATAAATGAAGAGGTGCTTTATTAAAGTATTATACATGTCTACTAGGCCCATTATGTTTACAGCATACTCCACAACTGTCAGTATTTTTCACAAAATCTAATGGAAGGTTAGTACGTTATCTAGCCCAAGACAAAGGAAGGGGTTTTTTTTGTGCAGGTTTTGTTTATTCTCTTTGGTTTGTTTTTTCTTAATATATTTTGTTACACTTGCAGAAATTTAAGACAGGATATTTAAAATTAAGTCTTAGTTTAGCTTAACACACAAAAAATAAACTTTTATGCAGAACTAAGGACATTAAAGTGAACTTGAAAGTGTCCTGTGGAAGTAGACCAAGTGTATTGGCAGAATGATTTCCTCAGTTACAAACTTTTGTAATACTTGCATTAGTTTCAAGCAAAACATTTTTAGCTGCATTCAGTATAACTTGTTTTTTTTAAAAAAAACAAACACTCCAGTTACAAAAAAATCTCTATCTTTGAGCTTCACAGTTTAAAGCTGATGAATAGAGCTGCTTTCTAATGACTTTATAAAAAACAGAGAATCAGTATAAACACCAGGTGGCATACTCCACTTTTTCCGTTTGATGCAAGCTTTTATGAAAAATTCCATTTTTTAAACATAAGCCTTTTACATACAAAGCTGTCTTTTCTGACTCAAGAAGTAGAAAAGAAAATACATGAAATAAGTTCTCATATTCTACAGTAGTTTTCTTGACTAACATTTAGACACACCTCACTATATTCTTGTTTTGTGGATGAAGTGAAACAATTCTCTCCTAAACTGAAGAACTTAAAACCAAAAATTTCAAGTAAGAACATATCCAAATTTAAAGACTGCCAGAAAATAGGGTACACATTTAGATGCATAGTAACTTATCTTGAATCCTTTAAAGACGTAATCTAGTAATGAGTGACTACCTAGGGTAACCATAATTTACCAGTGAAGCTAACTGCCAATGCGTACTATGAGAAAGCTCTATAAAACATTCCAGAATTTGTTAATCTTAGAGTTGATAAAACAGGCCAAAGGTATATTAAATCTGAACATTCAAAAAGAGAATTTAGTTTCCAGAGCATTGTGACTATTCTTGAAACATAATTATTAGTGAGTATTTACTACAAGATCTTGAAGACAAGGACTAAGACCTTCCCTTAATAAAGTTTTGCAGTTCATAAAAATGATGCTACTACTAGCAAAAGAGATGACTTCCACACAGTCAAAGGAAAAATAAAAACATCATACACCAATAAGGTATTTACTTTCTTATAGGAAAAGAAAAAAAAAAAAAACAACACCAAAACCACGCTCTCCTCTACTCTAAATCACTCAATTTAGTACTTTTCAAGTGACAGGAAGATGTGATTTAAATGGAAGATCACTTCTAGATCCATAATAGCTTGAGGGTATTTACAGGGAAGGAAGAAAATGGCAGAGCCACTCAGGTGCCTAAACAGGACCCTAAAGTGGACGGTGGTTAATCCATTACTTGAACAGTATTTGCTGTCAACACACTCTTTAATTTTGCTTTCTTACAAGGTGCCTGAGCAACAACACGTCCTAAAGCACCATACTGGCAGTTCAGAGACTTTTAAGGATGGATATATTGGGATTCAATCTCTGTAAGTGGATGCATTCAGTGACACAGGAATGGGCTGATACAGGAATATAATCAAACAATAGGAATAGATATTGGAGGATGCAGCATTTGGCCACTGAAAAGTCACCAGGCAATTTATTCAGTCAGAAATTGTGGCAGCATCTGGTCCAGCATCTTAATATTAATGTATTTGTATACTGAACAAAGTGCCTCTGACAACAAAAGCATCGTTATCTTTTGCAGCTGTAAGAACAAAATGAAAAAATCCCAAATAAGAACACCCCAAAACAATCAGAATCTTTAAAATAAGTTCTCGGCAATTACTGTTTTCTTCTGGTTGCAATTAGAAGCTTCTAATTCTTTAGAAAAACAGAACAAACAGCAAAACAAACAGAACCACCAGATTTCCATCCCACTAATAAGATCTCTATTGATTTCAGCTACACTTTAAAAACTTGTCTTTTTTATTGTATATCTTCAGGAAATAGCAACTCTCAGTGTTAAGTACATAGGTCTTGTTCTCCTTTATCTTATAAAGGCCACATCACATATTTCTATTTATAAAAGACAGTAATTGATAATTAAAATTGATACTTGTTATTAACTATTATAGAATCATAGAATGGCTAGGGTTGTAAAGGACTTAAAGATCATCAAGTTCCAACCCCCCTGCCACGGGCAGGGACACCTCCCACTAGCCCAGGTTGCTCAAAGCCTCATCCAGCCTGGTCTTGAACACCTCCAGGGATGGGGCATCCACAACTTCCCTGGGAAACCTACGACTACTACATAGAAAAAATCAGCTTTTATTGTGGAAAAATCAGAGTTAAGGCTTGAAAAATCTAGTGTTTCTTAATATCTAGGACTATAGTAGCCATCCTGTTGCCATCGTATTTTTTACTCATGAAAAATACTACCTCTATTGTTCGTTGCTGCAGTCTCTGTGTCTCCATCTTGGATAGTGTTTCTTCTAAAGCTTGCATGGCCTTCTGACTTTCTGCTTCTTTCTTTCTTGCCTGATTTAACTCATTAGTAAGTCTTTCAGTTTCACCTTTCAACTGCTGGACATCTGCTTGCAGTCTTGTTTTAGCATCTCTCTCTTTCAGTATCAATTCCTTTAACCTGAGAATAAATGCAAGAAAGTTGTATCACAAACATTTTAGTATTTGGTTTCATGCCAGACACATTATAGAATAAGACATTAGTTGGTGTTGTAACACCATATCTTGCTCTTTGCTGAGTTTTACTATTTACAGCACTGTCATGTAAAACTTAAAAAATATGTAAAATACTACTGAAGTTATATGTAGCATTACTATATGGAACTTCATTTTAAAAGAAACTAAGCTGGAGACAGCCTCATAGATAGGTCTTTAAGGAAATGACATTCCAGCATAATTTTTCTTCATATGAAAGTAAAACATATAGTATTAGTTTGTAATTTGATAAATTTTCTTCAGAAAATTTTATTAGAATATTGAAGGATATTTCAATTTTTGATATCTTTCCCCCCAAAAAAGTAACATAAGCCTCTTATCCAAGGTGATAACAGATGAATGTGGGAAGCAATCCTAAAACATAAAGATGAAATCATCACAGTCAGACTTGGATGGTAACTCAGGAAGCACTGGGCTTGTTTGTTCCTTACAAGAAAGAAAATGTGTCTTTGATAAATACAATGCAGTTAAGAAAAAGATAAATAGAGCAGCAGACTTCTCCAATCATAGCTGACAACAAACAGTGCTTTGTTAGAAGGGAGAACTTTTGAAAGAAAGGACACTGTTCAGAACTTACAAGGATAATGACAGCAGTCTATATGAAGATATGCTAGACCTGACCTGCAGCATATATAGGCCAACTCTGGCCTGCCAGAAACATCTTTGTTCAAGTGCACTGCACAGGAAAAGAACAAACAAACAAAATAAACCCAGGTGTGTACAGGTGGAAAAGGAGACTGTGAATTGGAAGCAAAAGTATGATACGAGACAGCTACTAGAGCTTGAGCTGAAAGTACAATTATGATACCAACTGCTTGAAAAGTACCACCTAGAAATGGAGCTGAGTAATGTACTGATAGTGTTCCAAGACAAGAACAGGAAGAAAGCAGCAAAAGGAATTTAATTAGGTAAAACAGAGAAATTCTAGCACTACTTCTTGATGCATTGTTTTCCAAGTATATTGTTTAAAGCTGTTCTCATTTCTTAAGACTATAAATGGAATTGTCCTGAATTAAAAACCAACCTCATACTACAGCACAGTTTCCCTACCTGTCCGTAGTATATACAGCCATAGTCTGAATATTTTTTTCTTCTTTTGCATATTTCTGGAGCTCTCTGACATGCTCTATTAATTTCTTCTCTGCTTGCTCTGCTTTCCACCTCTTTTCTTTCTCCTGATCCAGTTCTTGAATCAGCGCCTTAGCAAGAATGTGGTAAGCATCAGCTTACTAGGAGACATTCAGATGTAGTAAAAAATGACAAACAATATTCAAAACTGTAGAACACAATTTTTTATCTTTCTGCAATTCATGGATGACAGAGGGAACTGCAAGCAACCAGGCAAAAAACCCCCATAAAAGTGAAATAAGATAAATTCTCTTGCAGCTGACACAAGAACTCCACTATTTTTTGATGCTGTGTACCTGCAATTATTTTTTGTCACCTCCAGTTTTCAAGTTTCACCAGGAGACATATGCTTGGCTTCAGGTGAAGACATACTTAACTTGAAATAATGCAAAACATACCCGGTATGTTGATTCCTCTGTGGCATTTGAATTAATTTCTTCTACTTTTTCTATATTGCTCTGTCTTACAGTCAATATTTCAGCTCTTCTTCCCACTACTTCCAAGTCTTGAGCATCTGATGATGAATTGATATGACAGTCTCTCTGATTGGAGCGTGGACCCTTTGAGGAACTCTTCTCTTCCCTATAATAGCAGGACATCAAGGTATATTTAAGAATATACAGAGTTGAAACCGTAACAGGGGATTCAGACACTTTTACAGGACAAAATTTTTCAGTTCTGTGTAGAAGCTGAATTGTACAGAGTTAAAAAAAAACCCTAGAAAATAATTTGCAAGCAGATCATAAAACAACTAAATTCAAATATGCAGCTGTAAAAAAGTATGTAGTACTAGTGGATGCTATCTGAAAAACATGATTATATAGATATGAAACAATTTTAGAGAAGCAGAGTAGCTGTAGAGCTGCAGTGGCTGACTAAACTAATATATTCCAGTTGATATCTTCTATTAATCACTTCTGATATTTACTATATAAATCAAACACATTAGTATGGCATCCTCAGTTTCATAAAAAATATTGACAGTTATATTCTCCACCATCATTCCGACACCACAAACCTTTTATTATTGTTTTTTAAATTTGACTCAATTCTTCTCTCTGGGAAGAATTCTTCTGTCTCCACAATTTAAAACAAAGATGACAATATAAGCTGTTAGAATTCTGAAAATGCTTATTTTGGAATATTCAGTTCAATTTCCTTTTCACTTAAAGACAGAAAATGATCATATAGGGAAAAGACTGAGTGAAGAGTAAACTTCCAAAAGTTTAAAGGAATAGATAACAATACATGAAGGACTAATATAGAAAAACAATGCTGCAGAAGGTTATATATAAACAGTTAGATTAAGAAAAAAGGGGCTTGTATAATAAGCATTTACGAGCAGGGCCAGCTGGCAAATATCTCATTTTCTTTGGGGAGAGTGGAACACTTGAGAAGTTTTACACAATTGTTTTCCTAATCAACAGGTTTGTCTTGAAGCCTCAGTAGCTAATAATTTTTAGAGCATTATTAACAGAGCTAATTTGTCCAACCTGTGGCTTTCAGCAAATTGTTTCAAGTCTGACAATATTCAGCTTAATTCATTTTGGCTTTATGTGGCAAACATTAGGATACCTGTCAGTTATTTTGTTCTTAGGATGATTCACATGACACCTAGTGGGCAAGGTAGTTTTACAGTAAGTAGGGATCTTGCTTCTTTTCACAACCTTTCTTTTGTTCTCCTTCCCACTCTCATTTTCACTCTCAGAAGTTGGATCTATGTCTCTCTTAGCTTTCAGAACATTTGGAGGAGCTTCCTTTCTTGAGGTATCAGATACCTAAGAACAGACAGAAGTTTTATCTATACATTTTACTATTTCTAATTGGCTAATTTCTAACACTTACTCAGGTGTTATTTTTAAAAACTTAAGAGTTACAAAATAATTTTCATAGAGAGGTAAATAATTGCTTCTGAACTACTCCTTCCCTCCTTGTTAAAACATGTCATTGTCTTAAAGATAAAATAAACCCAACAGAACAGGATGCTTGAGAACACATAGTTGTATCTTTCTGAAATACCTGAAGTTTGTTTAAAATCCTTAGGCTAGAAGCTTGGTGCCAAATGTAAAACAAATACAGCACTTAAAAACACAGAAGCCTTGCAAACGTGCAAGATTGTCCTGGTTTCCACTGAGACAGAGTTAACTTTCTTCAGAGGCTAGTGTGAGGCTACATTTAGGATTTGTGCTGAGAATCGGTGTGTGATAACACACCGATGTTTATAGTTGCAGGTGCAGGAGAAGCTGGGAGGGAGCACAGCCCCAATCACTAGTCTAGGATTTGACCTTAGGTTTAGGACTGAAACCCAAATTGGCCAACAGTCTATTCCATATCATGCACGTCATTCCCAGTATATAGATGAGGATCTGTCCAGAAGTTCTCTTTCTTGGACTCTTATCTCTTTTCTGGGAATAAGTTTCAAGACTGTGTCTGCTCCGGGATTGTCAGCGAGGAGCAGACTGGGCCTTCAGTTTTACTGTAGTTTAGTTTTTAAATTGTTCTTATCTCAACCCATGAGTCTCTCTTCCCAAGACAGGGGAGAGTGAGCAAGCAGCTGCATGGTGTTCGCTGCCAGCTGAGTGGATTAAACCACAAAGGTACACCATAAACTTGTACAAAAAACATACCCAACAAACATATCAGACCAACTTGACCTATTACTTAGCAAAATTAATTTTCACCAACTCTATAATCCAGATATTTTACCACATTTCATATTTTCCTCAGGTTCTGTTACATATATTGATGGTTTCAGGGCAAAAACCAGAGAACAATTTTCTATCTAGTGTAATACCACATGGTCTATCAGACTAGGAAGACTATGGTTTTTATTTAGTACTAAAGTTTTTGTGATTCAAAGTGCAACCTTCGGTTTTAAAGACTTGTTTTGATTTTATTGCCAGCTTCTCAAAATTATTAAATATATATTATCAAAGTCAGCACATATGTACCAGTATAAATGCTCCAGTCTGTCCCAGCAAAGTCTTGCTTTATCAAGAGATACACCCCATTTTACAAACAGAACTTTCTGTCCGATCACAGGAAAAAAAAATTACCTTTTGCAGTATCTGTGAAATCTGATCTTCTATTTTTTTAATTCTTATCTCACTGTATATTTTATCAAGTTCTGCCTTCTCTGGTTCTGAAGAGGAGACAAACTCTGTAGAGGAGCTGATGGCACTTTGTACTGGTATTCTTGCACGTTGACGAAAATGAGCTAATGCCTGGTCAATATGTGGTGTCTCCACCGGTAAGGTAACACAGTTCTATTAAAACGAAAGACAACCCTTGTAACATTAATGAGTTGCTTGCAATATAAAAATAAAATGTATCAATTTAAAAATCAGCACACAAAAACTATGGCACCTGGTCTCTAGATGAGGGGTACCCAGATGAAACCAAACAGCCCAGAATGTCTTCTAAACACTGCAAATCTGAACAGCTTTCTTCTGCCGGGTCCACTGGTTCACCAGAAATGCTTCTTCCATCTAGAGTTGTTAGCTGAGGCAGTGTCTGAAGAACAGTTTCTCTATAACCTTGAGGAAAAGACCGCATTTAAATTGAAACTGATCTCCAAAAGAGATGTCTAGTGTAGTTTAGGTACCCTGTCATCTTAAATTATCCATTGCATTTTTATGCGCAGAAAAATAGCGCATTCTCTACAAATGTCTCACCTTTCCCCACCCATAAGGCTTTCAACAGACCACACTGCAAAACAAATGAATCGGGA